AAAGCTCATCATCTAATAAACCATCTTGTTAGTCTTTAAAGTGCTACATTGTCCTGCATTTTGCTTCAAAGCTCATTAATGTTTGTCAAGCATTTTAATGCACATGGCTTGGAGACACTATTATAATCCATCATGAATTAGGAGTCATTCCAACACGGAAATAGAAAGAATTCCTGTTAAGTAATAAGCCTGTTTAGAGATGAGAACCCCGTCCTCACAGTGTCCTTAACTCTGCCAGAAGCTGAAACTGGATAACGGGATGGATCTCTCAATAATTACCCTAATGGTTCATTCTCTCTGAAACATCTGGCACCAGCCACCACTGGAAGACAGGACACTGGGCTAGATGGATCATTGGCCATGTTGGTCAAACCATTTATATGATCTAATCATTTGGGTTTTCATCAGACTAAGTGAACTTCAGCGATATTTCAAGAGAAACTCTTTGGGGAAAGGAAAAGCTGCCTAAGGAATCACTGTTCAAAGACTGATTCGGGAAGAAGGATCACAAAAAATGACAGAGATGTGAACACTACTTGGCTGCTGTCAAACATCAACATTTGAGACACTTGCCTTGACCAAGGGAGCATCTGCATTCTTGACAGACTTGAAAGGAATATTAAATCCTTCCATTTTAAGACCTTTTTATCGCCTAATACTTGGCATTATCAAAGGAAAGAGACTGGAATTCAATAGAAGCAACTGACAATTTAACAGCTGACTTCACTATTTCAGGTGGTGACCGTTCGGAAGGGCGTCAACTAGTCCCAACTCATCCTCAGTTTTTCCCCTTCCATTCAAAAGGGCAGGAAATACGTGCAGAGCTCAGAGCGGCTGTGTTTTCCAAAGCAGGGATACACATCATAGATTGATAGTTTGTGCATCTGTCTGTCCCTCTGTGAGTAAAAAAAAACAAGTAGTTCTGTAGCACCTTAGAGTCTAACAAAAATATACATAGTATCATGAGCTTTCATAGGCAAAACCCACTTCCTCTGTGAATCTGTTTGTTCAAAGATCTGTTTGTTTAAATAGTAAGAGCTAGGACCACCAAATTTGGTAGGCTGCTTCCTCTTATGATATCTCAAAGCAAGGTCAGGGATTGGCTGTGCCAGGACAGTGGGATGTGCCTAGAATGTGACTGTTTCTCATCAAACAGAAAAGGGGGGCTGTGTTAGCAGGGATATAAATACTCCAGAATGACCACAGGGGGGCAGCAAGCAAGCACATCCCCAGTGCCCCAGGGCCAGCCCAGGGGAGAGGTCTCTGATGCCCCCACCCGATAGTCCTCTGCCCTCACTCCTGCACCCCCCTCCCCCCCCACTCCGCCAACCCTGAAGAACCAGAGCAATGCCAGGTAAATCTTCTAGTACAAATATAACTTATTTCCATAATGGGAATAGCTATACTGACATAAGATACCGTCATATTGCTATGACTGTATCCACAGGGGTGGTCCTGTTCTAATGATATGGGAGAGGGAGAAATCACACCTGTAATCAAAATCATTACATCTTACCACAGCTGTCAATAGACTAGGTCTTGACTCACTGGGTTAGTGCATAGCACAGAGGAAGTTACAGGAAATGCCCACTACGTGTTGAGGTCTAGAATGCAAACAAATCACCTTTTTATGATGGCGGGACCCTTGTCTATAATAGAGATATTGATCGCACAGTAAGCTTTTCTCCCTCAATCCAGCTCTCCTTATGCACCTACCACAGGTGAAGTGACACACAGCCATAGTCATGGGGCTTTTACCCAGAGACAATTAAAGCTGCCTGAAGGATTTGGAGGCCCAGTTGTCCTGAAAATTAGAAGGGAATTGGTGATCAAAATGCCAAGGTAACTTTGAAAAACTCAGCCCATCTGCTGATCTCTCTGTTCTAGAGGGAAAACCTTCTGAAGGAGCAGACTTTTTGGGATTGCAACACTGTAAGGGATAACAGACCAAAATGTGAGGAAGCCAAATGACCAACATACAGAGAGGAGAAAAAAATCTCTGTGAAAGTTCACCCCCCCCCCACCACCACATAGTCCTTCATACTCAGCTTCAGCATCTTTTACCACTCCTAGGCTATGTCTACACTA